TTTCAGCACTGCATAGCAATTTAACACTCTTTAATAGGTTTGCTGGATTGCAATCCAGAAATCCCACATAGCTTTCAGTCTGCTAAAGCCCATCTCCCTCCCCTGTTTTTTTATTATGATGATGATGATGATTTTACAACTTGCTTAGAGTTCTGCTAACTGCTGCAGGTAAATTATAGACCAAACTGAGAAAATTAAATGGAAGAAAACCATAGTAAATTAAAAAGTCCAAATGAAGTTTTTGGGTTGCAAAATGACTGTCAAATAACAGATGATTTTAAACCAGTAAGTTCACTTGCTTCTTGGATCTAAAATAGCTGAAGTGTTACTGTGGCTTATCCTATAATAAATGTAAGTTTGTTGCACAATAAAGACTAACATGGTAATTTCTTTTGAAATTCATGACTCCAGCAGAAGATCAAATTCCAGGTTCTTGTTTGTTTTCATCCCTGAGGCATTTAAACACATTCATTTTGGATTAAAACTGGAGTTAGTGGAAGTGGATAGAACTGGCTGGGCCTATTTATAAGGTCTCCTTTCTCATTAGAGCTACATTTTTATGGATTTCATGAGTGCACAATGCCATTATGTAGAAATCTGGAGGCAGATATGTGATATCCCTAACCTCAAAAAGGTAGAAAGGTATTACAGATAACTAAACAGCAACAGCAGTAGTAGCACAATGCTTATATTAGGACATGCTAAGTTAGCTTCTATAAACTTTAGATCCAAAAATTCAGGTTCCAAGCTGCTCTTAATGAAAATATAGTAACAGTACTATATCCTCAGCATGTTGATTATGCAACTTTTTTAGTGGATTAATTGTAACAAATTAATCCAAAACACCTGAAGGCAGGACAAGAAGCAATGGATGGAAACTAATCAAGGAGAGAACCAATTTAGAACTAAGGAGAAATTTCCTGACAGTGAGAACAATTAATCAGTGGAATGACTTGCCTCCAGAAATTGTGGTAGCTCCAACACTGGAGGTTTTTAAGAAGAAATTGAACAACCATTTCTCTAAAATAGCAATAGTAATAGCACTTAGACTTATATACCGCTTCATAGTGTTTTACAGCACTCTCTAAGCGGTTTACAGAGTCAGCCTATTGCCCCCAGCAATCTGGCTCCTCATTTTACCAACTTCAGAAGGATGGAAGGCCGAGTCAACCTTCAGCTGGGGAGAATCGAACTCCTGGCAGTGAGCTGAATTAGCTGAATTAGCCTGCAATACTGCATTCTAATCACTGCGCTGGCATAGCTCCTGAAATGGTACAGGGTTTCCTGTTTGGGCAGGGGGTTGGACTAGAAGATCACCAAGATCCCTTCCCACTCTGTTATTCTGTTAACAAGTTTCTCTGAGCCAATAATGACCCATTTAAGATAGATTTTCATGTTAGGTGTTTTCATTTGGCATATCAAAAATATGCACTGGATTTGGTTCATTTGCAGAAGATGGACAAATAGTCAATTTCCGCCCTAGATTATTTCTATGCACTTTTCCAAACTCCATTTGGAAAACTCATAAACTGCAGAAGCTGATAAATTGTTGAGTTTCAACTGATATGTTAGTCTGTCAAGTGTTGATTAAGTCAGTTCCTCCTGAAATTCACAGAAATACCTTATCTATTCAACTCCCAATCCATATTTTTTCATTCCAGAAATGAGTTTCATTCCCTCCTCCCTTTACTGGAAAAAACAACTTTAAAAAGTCTTTTTTTTTTTTTTTTGCTTATCACAAGCAGGAACTGTAACCACAGTATATATTTTGGTTTCCTAATTGCTTATATTTTGGTGACTCTTCTAATAACTAAATCTAAAGAAACTCTGGAGGATGGAGGATGGATCAACTGTGTGTGTGTGTGTGTGTGTGTGTGTGTGTGTGTGTGAGAGAGAGAGAGAGAGAGAGAGGGAGAGAGAGAGAGAGAGAGAGAGAGAGAGAGAGAGAGAGAGAATTTGAATGTGAATCTTGATTGTCCCTGGACTACCATTTCATTCTCAGACTTCATAGAAGGTAGCTATGCTGGTGCTCTACATTTGATAATGCAATGGATTATCTCACTATTCCATAGGATAGAATAGAATAGACTAGACTAGACTAGACTAGAATAGAATAGAATAGAATAGAATAGAATAGAATAGAATAGAATAGAATAGAATAGAATAGAATAGAACAGAACAGAACAGAATAGAATAGAATAGGTTTATTGGCCAAGTGTGATTGGACACACAAGGAATTGTCTCTGATACATAAGCTCTCAGTGTACATACAATGATTATGTAAAAATTTAGAAATTAGAATGTGTAGATATTTTCTAGCTCTTGGTTTTTCAGTCTTTTGGCCCTGCTTCCTGTTAAATTATATGCAGAAGCTAATAAAAGTAGAATGAAAAGTTGATCCTTTGTTAAAAATTACACTGCTAAACTGACATTCATAGGATGGGGTGGGGAGGGGGAGGAACCATATAAAGCTTTCTTGAAAATGAACCATTTTGAACCATCATGTTTTCAGGTTTAGCTCCTTCTTATTTATTTTTAAAAATAATATCTATACTGTAACTCATATCCTTCTCAACACTGGTTCATATTGTTGATTCTCCTGAGTAACATTTTTCAGTATATTTATAACTTAGATTTTCCTTTAGGGGAGCACAGAGTGGTTTTTGCTGGGTTTTTAGGTAATCTTACATAAGGCCTATGCAGAAACACTGTATAGCTCTAGGCCAAGGTTTGCTGGTTGCATAATTAATATAATCTGAATAGCTTACTTAGAGACATCTCCATTACTGCTCTATTGTAATATAAGTTCCACCCCTTTGGGAAGTGCGTGTAATACGGTTTTCTTCATTGGTCCCCCCCCTACCCCCACTTACTGGACATCTCTAAGGTGACCAATGAACTTATTGACTTTAAAAAAAAATGTCTGTAGTTTTCAGACACCATTTGGTTGTCTTCTTTCATCCAATAATGTTGAATTTAGTTCAAATTATTCTAATTAATAATAATAATAAGAAGAAGAAAAATCAGTGATTTCCAAGAAGAATCCCTGATCTAAAGTTGGATTGTCCAACGTTTTGGAGCACTGAATTAAAGGAGATACTAAACACTTAAATAAAAACTTTCACGGCGTTTGTTTCCAGAATGTCTGGATCTGGAAATAAACAAGATGCATTTGGGATACTATGATTAGATTATTATAGGATCTGGTTGTAAAAGTTTAAGTGAAGTTGCCTTCTAATTAGTAGAGACTACTGTAGTTTTTGTGGAATTGTTTATTTTCAGAATGCCTCCAAATATGCATTTGCTCAAGACACACAACCAAAGGAAAGAAAACGCTTTGATTTCTTAATCTCAGCTGCTCTTTTTTTTTAAGAACATCAATATTGACTACTGCTAGGAAATAGTATCCTCAACTAAAATAAATGTCTACTCCACAAGTCAGTAGGATCCTGTGTGCTTGACAGAAACTCTGGTTCAGCATCCTACATTCCTTTGCTACAGGCAAAATAAGAAATATCTGCTTTCAAATCAGACTTAAATCACATATATATTAATATAAAATATATTATAATCTACAATGTAATATAAATTTCTGGCCAAGCAGGCAATGATAATAATACCAATTAATATCATTCTAAATTATTATAAACAATATATTAAAATATATTAATAATAAAGGTAAAGGTTTTCCCTATCCAGTTGTATCCGACTCTAGTGGCCAGTGCTCATCTCTGTTTCTTAGCCAAGGGAGCCAGCATTGTCGAAGACACCTCTGTGTCGTGTGGCCAGCATGGCTATATGCCAAAAGCACACAGAATACTGTTATTTTCCCACCGAAGTGGTACCTATTTATCTACTCACATTTGCATGCTTTCGGACTGCTAGGTCGACAGGAGCTGGGGCAAGTAGCGAAACTCATTCTGTTGCGCAGTAATTGCATCTCAAATCCGGGCTGTTAGCTTTCCAGCTGACAAGCTCAGAGTCTTTAACTGATGGGCCATCAGTCCCCCTTATATTAATAATATTAATGACAAACTCATCATCAATCAGTTGCAAAAGGCAGCTTTATTTGGAATAGCTTACATCCTGCAACAATATCTATAACATCATCAAACATTCACATCCGCCTATCCCAGGTCCTTGGGAAGGATTCGATAGGTGAACAAAAATGCCAAATCCTGCCTGAACAACTTGCTGACTATGCGGTGAACCATAATAATCAATTAAATATATAAAGGGTGGTGGTGGTTGTAAATTATGGTCTTGGAGAAGTTTTGACATTTCTTGGGGAGGGGTTGATTTTATTTCTCAAAAAGCATTATTAATAATATTAGATCAAACACTGAAGTTTTCTTTTTATATTTATTCATGCACATAAAATAGTATCATGTTTATGAGTTCAGCATTTTGCCTACAGTTGTGCTTTTAGGTATAAGACATTATTATTTTATTCTCACCATGTCCCCAGCAATAACACTAGCTCCAAAGTGTGATGGGATGTTTAACTCCTACCATCTTTTTTATGTGCAGGCAATGAATGCATCACATGTTTAAAAGGAGTGGGGTCTTGTTCACTTGATCATGTTCCCTTATTTGAAACTAGCAACTATTTCTGCAAGTGCCCTGATTATTTGGTCAGCATACACAAGAAATTCATATATATATAAATTATTTTTTTTTCATCACACTGAATTAGAACTGATAGGAAAATAGGCTGGACATTAGTCACAGGCCAGCATTAGTCACAGCCACGACTGATGATGCTTCCCTGGGTTTTTCAGAATTCCCAGCCAGCATGCCAATCAGGAATTTTGGAGATAAGGTACCAGGCTGGGAAAGGATGGATTAGAAAGTGTCTGTTGATATTTCTGTGTTCAGTAATATCTACAGTTTTGTCATCTGTTGCAGCTGGGTATAGAATCAATCAACAAAAAGTAGAGTTGCTGATCTGCTGAAATTAAACCAATTGTTCTCTGTTTCTGTCTCCTTTATATTTTTAGCTTGTCCCAGAGGCACCTTCAAAGCATCGGCGGGAGATGCCCCTTGCAGTCCTTGCCCTACCCACAGTTATGCTTCCATCCCGGGTTCCCGGGAATGTGGCTGCCAGGCTCATTATTACCGTGCTTCTTCAGACGTCTCAGATGCCCCCTGTACTAGTAAGTATCTGAGAATGAGGAGGATTGGCTTAGTATGATCCCTGTTTCCTTTTGTATCTTGGATTCTTCTTCTGACCTGGTCTGTGTTTGCTCTTTTTCCTTCAGCTTCTTCCATGATTCTTTCCCTGTGCTTTCATTTCTTCTTCAAGCCCGTTGTCTCTCCATTTCTGAGGTCCACTTCAGTTACATTTCATGCATTAGAGAAGTATGTTCCGAAAACTGTCCAAAAGACTGGCTCTCCAGTCTTTCTAGGCTATCTGCCCATTTAAAGTTATGAGGAATAAGTGATTGCTGGGTGGGGTGGAAGAGAAGTTACTCATTCACAAAGTGGCTGTTCAAATATGACCTCAAGACCTTTGTAAAAATGAAGAAAGTGGTGGAAAGTGGTTTATAGTATTGCAGATTCCATTGGTGTAGCCACATCAGTCTGTGACTTGAAAAACAGCAAAGTATCTTGTGGCTTCTTAAATACTAATGTACCATATCTTTTTTTTTAAATTTGACCTACTATTGGTAACATTCACAGGGATCGATGTAGCCACAAAAACTGTTGTAGCCACGATCTTGATTCTTCTCTTCTGGGGATTTTGATCATATCTGCTTCCTCCTTTGTTACCTGCCAAGCCATTCTGTGTTCACCATCAATGCTTTTTGATTTCTGGATATAATTGTTAAAGTTAAGTAGACTATCAATCAGAGAATAGTCTGTATTTTGTTTAAGAGAAATAAGTTGGAAATCAATTAATTTGAAGGTATATCCCAATGGCAAGCATTTTGCGAACAGCCATGATTCACTGACATTTGTTGTTTTGGGTATATTTACATTAAATTTGTTTGTGTTTAAGGTGCATCAAGATTCTTTGTTGAAACTCAAGATGTACTTAAAAAAATCTTGAAAAGCACAGTGAAGCAGAAACATAGTTAAGGTTGCAATTAAGTTCATGTTCATGAATAATAATTGTCTGGCTAAGTTAGGCAATGACAGCTGGTCTAAACTGAAATCTTCCTCATTTTTATTACTCCATTAACAAAATGTGGGGATTTTAAGAGGTGGGGAGGGAAATGAAAATGGGGTTCCCTATTGGTGGTAGCAGCATCAATTCTTGAAATCTGGAAATAATCTGTCATGGCTGTAGGCTGCTTTGGAGTACCAAACTGTGTAGTTTTCATCCTCGAAATTTGGATTAAAATTGTTTCTTAGGAAAGATTTCTCTCTAGTTGAGTTTTACTTAGTTTACTCCAAAGATAATGAAATAATGTCACTGCCTACCTTTGCACTTATATATTTGACTTTTTCTATTTCAGTTTTTCAGGATTTAATTTTCCACTGTTTTGTAGGCATCCCATCGGCCCCTCGGGATCTCAGCTATGAAATTATTGGATCCAATGTCCTTCTGACCTGGCGTCTCCCAAAGGATCTGGGTGGTCGAAAGGATGTTTTCTTCAATGTCATCTGTAAAGTGTGTCCGACTGGCTCTCCAGGGCCTTGTGTCCGTTGTGGGGACAGTGTTCAGTTTGAACCCCGGCAGGTGGGGCTGACCGAAAGCCGGGTTCAAGTGTCCAACCTCCTGGCTCGTGTTCAATATACCTTTGAGATTCAAGCAGTCAACCTTGTGACTGAACTGAGTCCAGATTCTCCACATTATGCTGCCATCAATGTCAGCACCAGCCAGTCAGGTGAGGCACCTTTTTTGTTGACTATCATTGCTTATTTTAACCCCTCTTGTTCCGCTATTTTCCTTCGTCAGTCTTTGTCTCTCTTTTTTGCTGTCATACAGACATGGATGCTGATGAGATGAAAGCAAAGAGAACAATGGTTTTCCACTAATAGTGCAGGAGGCAAACTTTAGGTAGAATCTCGGTCTCATACCATTTACGACCAAATATCAACCTTTTAGATAAGACTGTGAAGGCAATTTATGTGAAACAAGGAAGGGTGAAATTGGTCAGAGGATCGAAAATGCTCATATTTCTTTCCGCCTAAAAATTTTAAAAACTTACCCTTTGGTTTTTGGCTGTGTGAAGTCACAGATGAGGCCAGCTGCAGAAGCAATGTCCATTTTCTTATTTTCCATATAGTCTACACTATTTGCCCACTATGTTGTGAAAGATGTATTTCAGGGTGTATTTTTGAGATGTTGAGCCTAATGCTGGGACACTCTTGTCATCTGACACTGGAGGAAAAGGAGCATTGTACCTTCAAATACTTTTTTAACTGGTCCAGCAAGAGCTCCAGATATTTATTACCTTGCAAGATTTTGTAAGGATATGAAAAATAAATCTTGCAAAGTTTTGAAATCCTATAAGATTGCAGCCTACATTTTAGGTTTCATAGGGCCATCTAGAACTGTCAGAGATGTCTACAAGCCCCTGTTGCTAGTACATTTGAGCACCTTTTATAGTTTGCAACAACATGCTCAGGTTGTAATACAATGCACAGGTTGTAATACTTCACAGAATAGGTAAGTCATGTCATCAAATTATTTAATGCAATTCATTAATATATTTTATTAACCATCTTTTAATGGGACTTGTTGCAACATTGCAAAATAAAGGTATCCTGTGTTGGCACATATTCCCATGGCCTTTGATAAAAAAAATTATTTTGCTTGAATCCACTCCCCCAAAACCTGGCAAAAGGGAAAGAGCTTGCCTTAGCAATTCAGAAAAAGATCTTTGAAGTGAATTTTTTGGCTCAGTACAATACTTTGAACATTTTAAAATCTATATAAATACCGGATGTTATCAAAGTCATGCTCTTTGGATTTACTGTCTCAAGCATTAGTCCCTTGGGACAGCCAATCCCTTTAGATTCTCAGCCTAACATCCCTTCTCTTTTTATTACTAAAGGTCCTAAGATGATAACTGCTGTTGCTACTTGGAAATTGTACAGCATTTTCACATGCTCAATATGCTTTATATAATTGTTCAGTGATCCCTATTATAGATGGGAAGATTGAGTTTGGGACATTAGATTGCCTAAGGCCACTTACTGAATTTATAGCTAAGGTGAGATCGGAACCACTGGATTGTGTTTGGGGATTATGTGTGTGGGACCTGGTCTTTGGGTGTCATGTAAATTTCGTTGTATGGGTATACTGTATACACATACGATGACAATAAAGTTTATTATTATTATTTGGTTTCATAGCTTAATCTGTTGAAAATTAGAGTCACTGCTGTCTTTCTCCCTTTCCTCCCACTCTAGCACAGTCTGTTTGTTTCCTTACTTGCTTGACAGAGGAGCCAACTATATCAGTTAGGAGATCAGTTGCTATGAGAAATGGAACCTTTTATCAGATTTTGGCAGGGAGGTAGAGTGTCTGATGTAAGAATAAATAGCAATTTTGCTCTCTGGCTTTATCTAGCCCAGTGTTTCTCAACCTTGACAATTTTAAGGCATGTGGACTTCAACTCCCAGAATTCCACAGCCAGCAATGCTGGCTGTGGAATTCTGGGAGTTGAAGTCCACATGCCTTAAAATTGTCAAGGTTGAGAAACACTGATTTCTAGCCAGTAGGTTTCTCCCAACTCATGTAATGGGGTAGTAGAATTAATTGGGAGGTTGGGGACTCATGTTTACGATTACCATAAGTATCTGAGAGCCTTCTTGTCTGCGTCTTAATTTCATGGATAAATGACACAAACAGCATGTGAAATTTAGAATCATGTACATCTGTATTTGTTTGTTTATAACTTTATATTCCATTCTTCTAATAAGGACAAGTAACTCAGAGTAGGTAGCAATAATCAAAACCACCAAAGCAAAATTAAATTAGTGTGGTGTAGTGGTTAACATATGTTTAGTCCCATCTGAGGTATGAAATGCTGCTAGTTGACTTTGGGCCAGTCACTCTCTCTCAGCCCAACTCACCCCACAGGTGAGGTTCTTGTGGAGAAATTAGGAGGAGGAAGAAATATTAGGTATGTTTTCCACCTTAAGTTATTTATGAAAATAATAAAAGCAGAATAACAAATAATAAAATAATAAGCAAGTTTGAGAAAAAGAAAACTCAAGTAAAATATACATTGTGAGAAGTTTCACTGCCTTCCTAAAAAGAAAGTTCTCTTCTCATTAATCAGAAATTATTCTAGTCCATCTTTTATTGTTTTCTGTTTTGAAGAAGGAAGAAGATACACAATTATACTTTGAACTGCTGGTCATTTATAGCTTTAACCCATGAACCACATGATATCCATGAAGATGAATAGAAGTTTAGGGAATAATAGCAAATTTATTTTTTTTAATTTTTATTTATTTATTATTGTTTTTTTTTATTTTCTCTATCTCTCCTACAAGGTGACTCTGGGTGGCTTATAGGTTATAAAACAAATAAAAAATAGAAGATTAAAAAATTGAAACAACACAAAGTTAAAGTATTATTAAAAACTATATTAAAATCGAACTAAGAAAGCTAAGAACCTGATAGGACAAGGATGAAGTCTTCTTACCCTGCCAGCTGCCTCCATGGTGAGTGCCCCCCTCGGAGCCTCAGGCCAGCCAGCAAAGCCAGGTTTTAATACCCTTCCAGAAGGCCAAAAGGGAAGGGGCAGTTCTCACCATCAGTGGTGGAATATTCCACAGGGATGGGGGCCACAAGAGAAAAGGCTCTTCTCTTTGATCATGCCTGCTCCAGTTCCTTAGCAGACAGGATCTGTAGCAGGTCTCTTCCACTGGTGTGGGTGGCGCAGCCTTGTCCCATCAGAGAGAGACAGCTCCTCAGACAACCTGGATCTATGCAATTAGGGGCTTTAAAGGTAACAACGAACACCTTGAATTGGATCTGGAGGCAAACCAGTAACCAATGTAGCTTGCGCAGTAAGGGGGTTACATGTGCAGCCTTAGGAGCTCTCAAGACTGGGCAGAATTGGCAGAAAAGGGGAATATAAGCAATACGAACAATCAAATAACAAGCACCTATATCTCCAACAGATTTCCAGGCTGAACATTGCTGTAAATTACTCCCAGCTTCCAGTTCTATGTATCAAAAGCACAAATCCCTTCCCCATCTTTTCCTTCAATTCAGGAGAGAAAGGCAAGGTCAAAATGTGTGCTGCCACATCTGTTGGATGAAGTGATATCTGAGGCCAGAAGATATGGCCACCTTGACACTGAGCTGCTTTGGTCAAAGTAGCCCCAGCAATTCCTGAAATATCTGTCTTAGGATCCCGTACATTTACTCAAAGTCATCTATATCACTTCCTCACTGTTACTAGCGGGATGGAAAGTAAGAGAATCTCAATCTGTTCTGGAGTCCCCGTCCCCATTTGATGACTTGGAAATCTAGTTGAAAGTTGAGCCAAGAGATTGACCAAGACTCCTAATTTATTTCCTATTAGTTGAGCTGGCATGGATCAACAACACTTATAGGCCAGCCGCTCATTTTACTGAGGCTATAAAGTGACCTGGAACGGAGATAAAACTCTCACTACAATAGTTCAGTGTTTGTTCTTATTGCCCCCAAAGACAGGGCACAAAATAGAAATCTCCTGGTGTGCTTCCCTAGTGATGGTCAAACACCAGTGACAACTTTTGTGGTAAGTTCCACCTCCCAGGAAGAACCTATTCCTCAGTGATTAGATTCTTTTTATGTTGGATGTATCTTCAAAATACATGTATATTTGTATACATGCATATATATATATATATCAGTCTTTTACTGACTGCTGAAATCTGTATGAACTTACAACAATAAAACAATGCTAAAGCCGAGACCACAATACAATAATAATACATTATAATCAGACAGTGGCTTCCAACTCATCATGGCCCAAATGCTCTCTGGAAAAGCTCCGTGCATGTGCTAACTTCGCCTCAAGATGGAGCTTATTTTGCCACAGTGTCTGCAAATCCCTGCCCCCTTAACCTCCCAATAATGTTAAGGGATTTTGTTGGGGTGCACGCAAGCAAATTCTATGATTCTTGAAGGAAACAATGCTGAAGAAGTCTAGGAGACTGACTATATAAGACTTTATTGCAGGGGTGTAAAACTCGCAACATCACGTGATGTGTCGTGACGTATCACGACTTTTTTGCCATTGCTGGGAATGTATTTGTATACATGCATATATATATATATCAGTAAAAGACTGATATATATATATATATGCATGTATACAAATATACATGTATTTTGAAGATACATCCAACATAAAAAGAATCTAATCACTGAGGAATAGGTTCTTCCTGGGAGGTGGAAGATGCATCATTTGCTATGATGCATCCGGTCTGCGGGCTGGCAGTTTGATACCCTTGCTTTATAGGATTAAATTGTCACCTTGAATTGCACCTGGAAATCTGTAGACAAAGAATACAGGTGCTGTTGTAATTCCGGTTAACTAACAAAGAGGACACTATTTTTTGCACCAAGCTCAGGTTAGAGATATGCATTAGTTACAGTGGAGAACTCAAAGTAGAGATCTCAAGAATTTAGACTGAACACTGTGCACCAGATAGCAGGAGCCTTAGCAGTTTAGCTTTAAAAATTTCATTAAGTTTAATTTAATTACTCTGGGAGCATAATTATTGTCCATACAGTTGAATAGCTAATTACTTCATTGGAGACTGTTTAGACACACTAGGAAAGGCTTGTAGAATGAAAATTTCCAGGAAGAAGATGATCTGTATATAATTATTGAAAAGCCTTCACCTGCTCAGTATAGTTTTTATTAAACCA